TAAGTTGTATGTGTGTTTGAGTGTCATGAGCAAATGTCCAGGTCATATTTCACTCCAACAGCAAAGGTAAAATAAGAAATAATATTTAGTGTTACGTAAGTTTAGCATAATAATAATAATAATAATAGTAATACAAAATAAATACATTGAATACTTAAATAATACTTAAATACATTGTTTCTAAATATATTATTTTATATACATTATTATTATTTACTTTTTGACATATTTTCTTTTCTTTATTTTCACAAATCTTTTTATTTTGAAAAATAGGACCGTAATGCGAAAAGAAAAAGACTGTCATTACTGTAACACATCATGTCTTATTACTTTAATAATAATAATTATTGTTATTATTATTATTATTTACTTTGACATTATTTTCATTGTATTTTAAAAAAATTATTAGAACCATAAAGTGAAAAACATATAATTGTCATTAATACATTGTCTGAATACTAGAATAAATACATTGTTTTTATATTATTATTATTATTATTTACTTTTTGACATGTTTTCTTTATTTTCACAAATCTTTATATTTTGAAAAATAGGACCGTAATGTGAAAAATAGTGTAATATGTCATGTCTGAATACTTTACTACTAATAATAATATTTATTTGCGTCTGTGTCATTGTTTTTATATATATATATATATTTGATTATTTTATTTTTGTGCTATGGTAATAAGTGATTTCTAGCACTTAAAATAATTAGTCATTAGAATTTTGGGGTGTAATGTGTTTAATCATCATCATGTCACAATGCAGAAAATTTTAATAATCCTAGAAATAGCCTTCATTTTTGTTTAATGCAGAATACTGTCTGATTTTAAGTGAAATATGATCTTGACAGGTTTTTGCCAGTATTTGTGTGATTCACCCATTTGTCTGGTTTTCGCCAGTAATTTACCACATATAACAGAATATTGTATCTGTGTGTGAAGCTGGCACGTTATATGAGCGGGTCTGCGCGTCCATCTGGTTGAGGGTGTGTTGTGTGTCGGACGTGTTCGGTGTGTGTCATACTGAGGGTGTGTGTGTGAATATGTGTGAGCGTGACCTCTGCGTGTCTGGCTCTAACGGACTGTGTGTGTGTGTGTGTGTGTGTGTGTGTGTGTGTGTGTGTGTGAGATGGAGGGTGTGAGTGTTTCCTGTGGGTCGGTGTTTTTTTCCCCCCATAATTCCAGTAGGTCTCAGGTCACCCATGTGTTCTCACGCACATTTTTTGCATTCTTTCCTCATCCAGCATTACCATACACCTTCCTCTGGGTTTGGCCGACAAATCTTTCCACCACTTCGCCTCCAGAACAGTCTGTTTCTCTCTCGGAATCCTTCGCTTTTCCCGCTGACTCAGCTGGGCAGAGACTGCCGGGATTACAGGTTGTTGGTGACAGTAATGTGTGTGTGTGTGTGTTCACTGCTTCAGTTATAAGCTACAGGTCCACATCTAGAAATATTTAGTGCATTCCTTCAAAGTTTAGATTTTATTTTATTTCATATATTTATTTGACATTATTTTCTTCATGTTTTCAAAAAATACTATAAAGTGAAATAAAAACAATAACTGTCATTACTGTAATACAGTACAATTAAATATTTATATATATATATATATATATATATATATATATAATCATACGTGTAGTGTGTTATTACCATTTTTGCGATTTATTTTCTTTATATTTACCATAAAAACGAATTGTTATTACTGTAATACATAATGTCTGAACAATACAATAATAGCTATTGATTATTTTATTTTTGTGCTATGGTAATAAGTGATTTCTAGCACTTAAAATAATTAGTCATTAGAATTTTGGGGTGTAATGTGTTTAATCATCATCATGTCACAATGCAGAAAATTTTAATAATCCTAGAAATAGCCTTCATTTTTGTTTAATGCAGAATACTGTCTGATTTTAAGTGAAATATGATCTTGACAGGTTTTTGCCAGTATTTGTGTGATTCATCCGTTTGTCTGGTTTTCGCTAGTAGCTAATTTTCCGCATATAACAGAATATTGTATCCGTGTGTGAAGCTGCCACGTTACTTGAGCGGGTCTGCGTGTCCATCTGGTTGAGGGTGTGTTGTGTGTCAGACGTGTTTGGTGTGTGTCATACTGAGGGTGTGTGAGAATATGTGTGAGCGTGACCTCTGCGTGTCTGGCTGTAACGGACCGTGTGTGTGTGAGACGGAGGGTGTGAGTGTTTCCTGTGGGTCGGTGGGATATATTTTTTTCCCATAATTCCAGCAGGTCTCAGGTCACCCCTGTGTTCTCACGCACATATTTTGCATTCTTTCCTTCTCCAGCATTACCATACACCTTCCTCTGGGTTTGGCTGACAAATCTTTCCACCACTTCATACGTGTAGTGTGTTATTACCATTTTTGCGATTTATTTTCTTTATATTTACCATAAAAACGAATTGTTATTACTGTAATACATAATGTCTGAACAATACAATAATAGCTATATAACAATAATATATTTATAACAACAATAATAATAATCTTTTACATTTATTTATTTAAAAAAAATCTGAACTTTGACTTGTGTTTGCCTGTGCAAAAACTCACTGTTACATTGCAGGGTGTTCTGAGTGGTTGCCAGGGTGTTGCTATGTACTTGCTAAAGTTATCCACATCACTTTGAGGCTCCTAGAATGTTCTGAGTGGTGGTCAGGGTGTTGCTATGTGATTGCTTAAGTTTCCCACACCACTTTAAGGTTCCTAAAATGTTCTGAGTGGTTGCCAGTGAGTTGCTATATGGTTGCTAGAATGTTCTGGGTGGTTGACAGGGAGTTGCTATGTGCTTGCTAAAATGTTCTGGGTGGTTGCCAGGGGGTCCATATGTGGTTGCTGGAATGTTCTGGGTGGTTGCTATGTGGTTGCCAGGGCGTTACCATGTGATTGCTAAAGTTTCCCACTTCACTTTGAGGTTCCTAGAATGTTCTGCGTGGTTGCCGGGGCATTGCTATGTGGTTGCTAAAGTTTTCTACATTGCTTTGAGGTTGCAAGAATTTTCTGGGTGGTTGCCAGGGTGTTGCTATGTGGTTGCTAAAGTTTCCACATTGAGATTGCTGGAATGTTTTGGGTGGTTGCCAGGGTGTTGCTATGTGGTTGCTGGAATGTTTTGGGTGGTTGCCTGGGCGTTGCATTTAGCACATTGTAATACAGTATATTTTGGTCTGTAGATATGATCTGGGTTGCATAAAACATGAATTCCTGACCATATGTTTGTTAGCAGTTTGATGATAATGACGACTCACACAACATGTATGTTTTGAAACACAGACACGTTTCTGTAGAGTTTACTGGCTTTGGAAAGGTTTTTGCCATACACAGAGATAAAATAAATAAGTAGAATTCTTTTATAGTAACAACAATGATAGTAGCAGTCAAAGTAATATCACTTAGTCAGCATTAATCTATATATATATTTATATATTTATATTTAGAAAAAGTTTTGTAATGTTTTTCCTTTAATAAGCTGGTATAAGACTTTGGTTCTCCGTTATATTTCCCAGTAGCAGCATTCCACATTAAAATCCAAACAGGAACGTTGCTCCTCGTGTCATTTTGTGGCAACCCGTCCTGTGCTCTCGTGGGATCGGAGCTGTTCAGGTTGTGTCTGTCATTGGTCACCACTTGTCTTTGGTCATTTGGTTTGTATTTGGTGCAGCTTTAAGAGAGTTTCCTCATTATAATCCTTTACATTCCAGTTCCGGTAAATCCTGTCCATCCAGCAATAAGTCACGTATGATTATATCCCTCACGGTCTTTAATGCAACCTGAAATACGCCATTGCACGCACATGCACACACTTATACAGTATTACATTCATTTATTCATTAGCTTCAAAGGCATAGTTCAGCCAAAAATGTATATTCCGTCATTATTTGCTCACCTCAAAATTACAGTTCATAGTGAGTCTGTCAAGCTCCAAAAATAAAATAAACACTAAAACTGTAGTCCACATGACTAGTGCACTACAAGTCTTTGAAGCCATATTGTTTGATGATTATGCATTGGTGTTATGATGAAAGATTCATCCATGCATTTTTAAACAGTTTTTACCTAGTAATGTTTAATAATTTCATAACTGGATCTTCCGGTGAAATGTGTGATTTCTCTCTGGTGACCTGTGCAGGATGCTCCAATGATTTAGTCTGCTTAAACTCCACCCCTTCCTGACTGCCACACCCACATCTCGACATCCACTCGGCAACCGATGCATAGAACCAAGTCTACGCCCTACATTTTTTCTATTTCAATAATCCATTTCATCCGTATGTACATCACAATATGGAAGAAAGGATTTGATGCTACTTATTTTAAACCTTTGCTAGTGGCATTATAATCAAATAATTTTTTAAATGGTTATTATTATTATTATTTTACCCACAAATAGAAATTTGACCTGATAAAATATTTTATGTACTTGATAAAACTTTTTTTTTTATTATAAAAATTACCAGTATTTTTAAAAATAGTTTATTAATTTCTATTATCTTTCCAGGTAAAAAAAATCACACTTTTAAATGTACTTAACAATTCAAAAGAATAGAACTGATGCTACTTCTGTTTCATCACAACTAATTAAATTACGTAAATTTCATCACAA